ATACTTCATGTGGTTCGTGGAAATCGTCTGTAAGCAATGGATGGCAATTTGTTGTTGATGAAGGAAAATGAGGTAGGTTACAAACTGTGGACACAAGTTCATCTTTTGAACACATAAAGTTGATCATCTGTGAAGACTTTGGAATTGATCTACACATGGTCAATATCGAGTTAAGTTACTTACCTTTGGATTTGATGAATAGCATCAACTCGCAACCTGTTTTCATCACCAATGATAGGCAACTCAAAAAAATTCTTACATATCTGAAGATGAGTGCTTCGACTCGGTTATGTGTGTGTGTTCGATCTAAGTTGGAGACAAGGAATATAAACGTCGAATTTGACTTGAATGAAGAAGGCGCTACTGATTCGCCTAAGAGAGAGGAAGAGCATGTGGCGCATGTTATTGATGGTGAAACCGTGGTAGAAGAAGATGATGATAACCTAGAGAAAAAGGATGACCAAGACATGATCAATGGAAAGCCTGTCCGGTTTTCTTTGGTTGGTGTTGTGAAGAAGGGACAACATTTTACTAGCAAACTGGCTTTGAAGGCGACACTAGAAATCTGTGCAATGAAACACAATTTCGACTACAAGCTTGTCAAATCAGATACAAAATTTTGGTACATTCGTTGTGCAGATGATGATTGCACCTGGTGTGTTCGTGCAGAAGGATTAACATGATCTTCATATTTTATTATCAGCAAGTATGTGCCTGATCATACATGTGCTTCATTATCGAGGAGAAATTATGTCCGCACAGCTTCAGAAAAAAATGTTGGTTCCCTCATAATGCATAAGTATGAAAGCGTTAAGGAAGGTCTGAAACCTAATGACATCATCAGCTATATGCGTGATGAGCATGGAGTTGAGGTATCATATTCTTTAGCATGGGATGCCCGTGAGTATGCAATAGACATAGTCAGAGGTATTCCTGAGCAAGGTTATGCTAAAATTCCTAAATACTTGCACATAATGAAGGAAGCTAATCCAGGAACACACACGGCTTATGAAACCGATACCAATGGGAGATTCAAATTCCTCTTCATCTCATATGGTCAGTCACTTTGCGGTTTTCATGCTGCCATTCGGAAAGTTATTGTTTTGGATGAGACTTTTTTGAAAAGAAAATACAAAGGAGTATTATTGCTTGCTACTGCTTTAGATGGAAACTCAAATCTATATCCTATTGCATTTAGAGTTGTCGACTCCGAGAATCACCGGTTATGGGACTGGTTTATGAGACAACTTAAAGTTGTCATTGCTGATGATCACAGTTTAGCTTTTGTCTCTGATAGGAACCTCTCAATCGCCAAAGCTCTTGTGGACGTGTATCCGCAATCTCATCATGGAATTTGCATTCACCACTTGATCAACAATGTTGTAACAAGTTACAAGGGAAAAGGTGTCACTGGTTTGGTTGCAAAGGCTTCTAAAGCTTATCGAGTTGCTGATTTTCAGAAGTTTTTCAGTGCTATTTGGTCCATTGATCCTCTAATAGGCAACTACCTAATAGAAGCAGATGTGACAAAGTGGGCTCGTTGTGCTTTTACGGGTTACAAGTATGATATTAGGACCACTAACCCTGCTGAATCCATAAATGCTGCTTTGCGTTTGCCAAGAGAGTTTCCGGTTATACCTTTGTTGGACAGCATAAGGGAGATGATGAGTCGATAGTTTTTTCAGCGTAGAAATTTAAGTTCCAAGCATCCGCAGCCCCTGATCATTGCTGTGGAGAAGAAGATTGAGCGGAGGATTGAGAAGGGTAAGAAGTTCAGGGTGTTCCCAATTACTGACGACAGCTTTAAGGTTCAAGGTGACACATTTGATTGTATGGTTGACTTGGCCAGACGATCATGTAGTTGTGGGAAGTTCGATTGATGAAAATCCCATGAGGGCATGCAATAAAAGCAGGTTTCAGTGTAGGGATACAACCACACACACTCACTGACGACGTGTACACTACTGCCTCATGGAACTCGGTCTATGAAGAAAGTATAAATCCTATAAGTGTTCCGGAAGATGCATGGAGTGTCCCATCTGACGTCGTCCAATCAACAGTCCTTCCTCCATCAACTAGACAAGCTGCAGGTAGGAGAAGAAAATGCAGATACGTGACGGCAAAAGATAAGATCCGTTATTCACAAGGAACCCAAGGCTCTAAACGTCGCAAATGTAGTCGATGTGGTATTGAAGGTCACAACAGGTCAAGATGCATTAGAGAAATATAAGACTTCGGTCCTTTCATGTTGTCTTTCATGTTGTTTTATTCAAGTTATCTTTCATGTTGAACTCTCTTCTTTCATTTAGAACTATGTTTTCTTGAATGCTTTGTTATGCATAAACCTCTATTTTTTGTTTTTCTCATGCAGTTTTATGCAAGTTTGGCTTTCTGCAAGTTATCTTTCATATTTATCATTTGTTTCATGTTGATTTTAGAAATGTTTTTGATTTATATTGAATTCAGATGTGTTTGAAACATGTCAATAACACTGGAAATCCAATTACTTGTTCTTATTCAACGTAGATAGAATTAGAAAAACATTACAAAATATCAATCAAATTTGGAACAGAGACATAAAATACTGAGAATGGATGATCATACACAACCAAATTTGCGAGGCTTTTTTGTTCATAACTTCCTCTTCCACCATCTTCAACAAAACACGCAGATCTTCAATTTCTTCTGCCATGAACGCTTGATGGTCATCCATCTTTTGAATCTCTTTAAACAAAGCATCATCCACCCACTTAAAAAGATGTTGTTCTTTCTTTCTCTGATTCGGAACAGAAAAAAAATTAAGTTTGAACATAGAAGAACTGATAAGTACTTATATATCACACTTACCTGTAAAGCAATCTCACATCTTAAGAACCGTCGGTATGGGTTTTCCTTTGTTTTTGAAACGTAAGTGACAATCCCCCTCCCACACCAGCATCTGTGAGGAATTCCTCCAATGTTGTTCATGTTCGCCATGCTTTTTCAAAAGAAGAAAAAAAAGACGATGAGGAAAATGGGCAAATTAGGGTAGATGATATATGTAAGTTTCTCCCAAATTAGGGCAGAGTAGGGGAAGAATAAATATTTGTTTTCATCCACACAAAGCAATGATTCGCTTTAGGTCAGTGGAATGCAATATGACAAAACTTTCATTAGGTAAAGGGTTCGAATCCCTCTTATAACATCAATTTTTTTCTTTTTCTTTAATCAGGCCGGGTTTAGTGATTATTATTGTTTAGGGTATGTCTTCAGGGTTGATAAGATCCTAATGACAAGAAATAATATATAGCAAATTATACATAATGAGTCTGGTTTACTTTATAGTAACAAATTTAGGGTATAGTTTAGTGATGGGTATTGTTTAATGTCTGGTTTAGGGTTTAGTAACATTTAGGGTATAGGAATTTAGGGTATGGTTTATATGATCTCTTTTATGGCTTTAGGTAAAATTTAGGGTATAAGAGTTTAGGGTGTAGTTTATTTGATCTCGTTTATGACAAGAAATAATATATAGCAAATTATACATAATTAAGAGATTCAAATAAACTAAAATAACAGAGTTTCAATACCCTACTTCCTAAACAACTCCGAATTGTTCGAACTTCATCTAACAACATGTTTCCTAAACAACTACTACTTAAATGAACTTTATTCAATCTCCACTATTGGATTTGAGAAGGTCTTTGGAGGAGTGTACATTGACGTTCTTAAGATAAACTCAGGATCATTAGCTGCTTCCCATATGTCATAAGCAATCTTCTGCCGGGCTTCACGAATGTTACTGTCTTTCACCAATGATAAGTCTAACCCTAGAAGATGGCATTCGATGTGATTTAACGCATAGGGCAATAGGACGTAACTTACATCATATGCCTTGACGGTGTGTAGCTTACTATTTGAAGACTGCACAGCTTTAACAATTCTAGGGATGAGAACGGCAAATGGCTACACTTCGCTCTTGTAGTTCAGTCCCTCACTGCCAATGACCTCTATAGAACGAGTGACGAAGTTGACGCACATAGAGATCCAGTGGGCATCTCCCACATTGAGAGGTATATACATGCAGTCGACATCAAGATCCCACATAAGTCTTGTTCGTCCGTGTGCTAGAAGTTCACCACTTCCGTATTTATGCAGTACTCCAGTTACCTTGAAATTTCTCATGTCCTTCTTAAGTTGTAAGTAAGATGTCTTCACTTGATTACCGAATATGCAGCTCATGAATGCTACTTTCTTTACATCCCATCTACGCAATGAAGTCCTCTCATGGAAGACGTATAGCATAGCATCAATTTCCTGCAAATTTCAAATAGTGTCCCCGTTAAGCACAATGAGGGTCCAATTTAAAGAACATTTAAGGTCGAAGCAAAACTCACAAAATTCTTCAACCACACTTCAGGTCCTATTGCACGTGCTATTAGCTCAAGTGAGCACACTGAAGATCCAATCTTGAGATGCCTGCGATGCAAAATTAAATTAAATAAAAATATGATAGATGTGAAAATTTTGAGAAAAAGCATAAACTTACGTATTACTTGAGGTCCAAGCAATCAGTTTATCCCATGAGTCCTCAGGGACAAACACTAGAGAGTAATCGTCATCATACACCCGGTCTTCAGGCAGTTCTATATCTTTGAGTGTAGGTGGTATCCAATCCGCAGGCTTGAATGATGATAATGGAGTCACATATTCAATAGGTTCTTCGTCATTGAGCTTTTGCGAGGGATCAAAACCTTTAACTTGTGATGCTTGAGAAAGGTGACCCATAGCCTCTTGTAAATCCCCTTGTGTCCCCATATGTTTTTTTTCTTTTTGATGATTGTGACAAATTCTCAGAAAAATCCATTAGCTTATTCTGATCATCCTGTTTATAAAACCAAACCTCACATTAATATATAATTTTTACAATAGAGTCAACTTACAAGCCGGGATACACATTACAAAAGAGTCAAATACATAACTTGCAAAGAAACAGAGATCGTTGGACATTTTACTTTGCCTCATTTTCTGGTTACATTTCTTCCTGGCTGAGGGCTGCGACGAACCGTAGGAGGATCCTTGCTTCCTTCCTGCTTGCATTTGATTTTTTCCTTTGATACTGGGGAAACCATAGTATGAGATGCTTTCCCTGAGCCCATACTCTGAGATGCTTTGCCTGAACTCGGAGTCTCAGATGCTTTGCCTGAACCTGGAGTCTCAGATGCTTTGCCTGAACCTGAAGTCTCAGATGCTTTTCTTGAACTTGGAGTCTAATATGCTTTGCCTTCACCTTTTCCCATTGTTCCTGAAGGACACGGAGTCTTAGTTGTTGTGCCTCTTCCCACTGTATTTGAAGGACCCGTAAGGTGAAACATTTGTTCCTTCAGCTGATCTATCTCATTGTTGACCTTGTGAAATTGCTCTTGTATGTCCTTCTGCAGCACTTCCTTTAAAGAGGTGAAAGAAGAGGTAAACAAATCTTCCATGAAAGTCTTCATTTCACTTGATACACCACTGTTATGTTCAGCCACCCGTTGACAAAGCATGTTCTTCTTTCTAGACTCGGAACCATGATCATTTATCTTGGGCTTCCCCCTTCTTGCAGCAACAGCTGGTTCCTTCACAGGTGATACTGGGGCAGCTTTGTCTTCTACAAGATCTTTTTCATCAGCTAATATGAAATTTGAGGCTTCACCTCAAGTTCCCAAGTGAACTGTGTCCAGTCTTGATTAGCATTTATCAGAGCAACAACACGACCACCTCTTTCGTCATTCTCCTCATCTTCTCTAAAGTAAGCAGTATCATCAATCACTTTTGAGTTCCCAGTAGGATCTATAAATGGGAACAACACTCCCTGAAAAGGACAACCACAAACAGTACGCATTTGTTTGATAATTGAACTGAATATTAAAAAATAGGAAAAATCATCTTATCAAAATGGGACTCCAGGCTAATGATATCTTGATAAGATACTTTTCCACTTCCTTTCCAATTCATGCATCTTACTGCGGTGAAATCTTGTTTGAGCTTCTTACCCACCATAGTACCAATGTTTGGGATTGCCTACATAACCCAAATCTGAAACATATAAGAAAATCCATCCAGCACGTAACTGTTTTTCTTATGTAACTCGGCCCTTGCTTTGAGTATTGATGAAAGCAACTCGTCATACTCATAAAGACCCCAAGGATACTTCCTCATTTTCTCGAAATCCATCACCAAACAAATGTATTCGTGAGGGATATGCACTTTCTCATCCTTCGCAATGAGGAATCCATGGATAATACATAGATACACTAGCCTCACGCTGTCCACGTACGTCCATTTGTTGCAAACTTGGAGGAGTTCCTTCTTTACACATACTAAGCTGATCTTCTCTTTTTGCTTCAGCACTGTGCTCCAGAACCCCTTATCTTTCTTCCAAGTATCGAAGTCTATATCTGGTTCTTCTTTGTACTTCAGTCCAGTCACAACACAAAACTCTTGCATTGAAAACCTAAGAGGCCTCTTTGCAAACAAAAACCACAACTCGTGAAGCTTAGAAACCTTTAGCTGCTTGCATATGAAGCTGTGAACAATGTTCCCTGAGTAAATGAGTTTGTTATCATTGATTGCCAAAAGCGGATTAAAGACAGGGTCTTTCTCCACTTCCTCGTACTCATCCTTGAGAGCAACCTTCAGTATATCAAGAATAGTACGTCTACAGGTGTTGTTAACTTTATCAATCTGATGCTCAGTGCCTTCTTCGAAAATGCGTTTTAGATACTCGTAAGCCATGCCTGTTGTAAACAATGAGATCAAATAACATGATAGTCAGTATCAATTGACACACTACGTACAACCAAACTCATAAGAGTAACTTAATTGACCAGCTTTACATGTCAAATTATACACAAAATATATACATTTTGAGCTACTCAGTTCAAATAACAAATCTAATCCAAAACAACCAGAAAAATCGTGCTCTTTTACATGTCAAATATAAACTTAAAAATACTTGATTCTAAGCCATCTCAGTGTTTACTAATACATTCACAACAACACAATGTAAAAAAAATCAATATCAAAAAAGGGAACTCAATTTTCATCTTGGTTCATAGTTGAAAATAGTTGAGTTTCTAAGCTATCTCACTGTTTTACTAATACATGCACATCAACACAATGTAAAAATAATCAACATTGAAATGGGGATCTCAAAACCTAACCTTCGAATTTGGGAAAAGATGAACCGAGATGAATATTGACCTCTAACTTGTTCTTAATCAGTGATGAAAGCTTCGTCCACCTCGGTACAATACTGATTTATACTATCGAAGATAACAATAACACTTAGGGTTAATCCCAGAAAAATAAGCTCAGAGAATACAAGAGAGGAGGCAAAAGAAAATACCAGAAGGAGGAAGCCGGAAGGAGGAAGGTTTCGCCGGCGAACGCGCCAGAGAGAACACGACGGAGGTGCACACGGGAATTGGAGCTTCGATACACACGAGGTGAAATAGGGATATGTCGATTTAGGGATTTTGTCCCCTTTCTGCTTAAGTTAATATTTGTATTTTTACCTTTTTAATTAGTAAATGTGTATTTTTACCTTTTTAATTATTAAATGTATTATTACGTTTTAATTATATTCAGAAATCTTAATTATAAGGACTAAATTGGATTTTCATTAAAGTTTATTTTAAGGGAACATGATACCATAAATTCATTCTAAGGGGACAATAGTTGTGTATTTGGTCCTCTTTTGGCAAATTTCTCTAAATATTATGGAATTTTCCAAAAAGGAACCAAAAACCTTATCTATTGTCCCCTTGGAATCATTTTTTAGGTATTGTCCACTTAGAATGAATATTAATTTTAACCCTCTTCTGACCCTCCAACTATACCCTTAACTTGTTTTTAAAACAAACTAATTAAAAACAAATTTGAAGTATTCATTTTATTATGTTTACATCTAAACGATGGATGCTATCAGCAACACAACTTCGAGTATCCTTGCCTGCCTTGGAGTCATTAGAATAATCTTTTCCAACGTGGTTGCGCTGACAAAAGCTCATTCAGATTAAGATTACCTTATGAAGTTCCTCCTCATCAGTGATTGCGGTAGTCTCCTCCTTACTCTCTACCTCTCTTCTTCATTTGAAATCATGAATAGATTAGATACTCACAAAGTATTCGACTTTTTAAACTGAGAATCTTCGTTCGTGCCTGTTTTTGAATTAGGATTAGTAAACCAGACAGCTCATATGATGCAATGGTCATGTAACAGAAATAACAACAATGCCTTCTTTTCTTGTCGCTTCAATGCTTGTTTCAGCATGGTGAAACAAAGATGGGCAGGGCCGGCCCTGACCTAAAGCAGGTAAAGCTAGGACTTTAGGCACCAAATTAAAATATAAATTTAGGGGAAACATGATAACAAAACATCGCATGTAGTCTAGTGGTTGTGCGCTTCATCTTTGTGTTAACGCTTCAAGTTTTGACGAGATGAGCGTACAATATTATTTTTTGCTTTAGACAGCACAATGGGCCGGGCCTGAAGATGGGTCATCAAAGAAGATGAGAATTATTTGGATTATCATTAGTTTGTTTTCACCCGTAATATTAACAACTGTTATATGTTTTGTACGGCTGGGCCTGAAGCTGGGTCAACAAAGAAGATGAGATTTATTTGGATCCTCATTAGTTTGTTTTCAGCCGTAATGTTAACAGCTGTTATATTTTTTTTGTACGGAACAAGAGAGTGTATGAAACCAACAAGGTATGGGAAGATATAAAGAGCATATATTTGGAGACCTTGTTCGAGCGTTCTTGGATAATGAGCTTCCTGTGGAAGCAATGAGATTGTATCAAGAGATTAGAGATTCTACTGAGCCACGAGATAATGAGCTTCCTCTAGTTTTAATATTGAAACCTGATATGATCTGTTATTAATTTCAGTTTGTGATTATTCAGTGGAAGACAAGCTATGGTCACTACACTTGAAATTCAATTTCCAATTTTGCAGTTGCAAGTTATGATTATCTGCATGTGCAGCCAAAGCTTGTGCTTTTTCTGTTATTTTTCCTAATACCTTTACAAAGTTATAAGAGTTGACTTTGATTTATCACACTATACATATTACACAAGGTACAAGTTATCCCAACTTCTTGACCAAATATCAAAGGCTTCGTCCTTGCAGACTTTGAACATGGCTGGATGAACGATTGTGGTCTGAATAACCCCATTTTCCAATGCAATGAAACTAATGTTTTTTTCTTGGTTCATCATAAATTTGTTTATAAGGACCACAAGTATCTCTAGAAATATGAAAAACTTTGGAAGAAGAAGAAATTTGTTGATTTTTAGCAACCAAATTAAAAAAAAAAGAAATAAACAAGATTTAAAAGATTTAGAAAATATTTTCTAACTATTTTTAGCTAGATTTTCGGATATAATTACAGATCTATGAGAAATCATATTTTACCGATGTTATAAGATAGATGAAAGCGTAGAAATAACATACCCAGATAATTAGACGAAAGACCCTATAGAATAATGTTTATTCTGAAAAAGTAGATATATGTTTAATATTTAGGTTTTCTGAACGTCCCGACGTACAAAAAATATAAGGAATGGAAGATTGGTTAGTTTGTCTTAGTAGACGGAAATTTATTTGGTATACTATATATTCTATGTCCATTAGATTATTGTTTTTCAGTAGATTGCAAATTCTAAGACATTGTAGATGGTAGAAAAGGTCTACTGCATTTTTAGTCTATTTTTAGCCCATTTTTGAAATTGTTAATCCAAACATAATTTTAACACAAAAATATTTTACCTTAATGTATATGAATGTTAATGTCATTTTTTATACATCATATTTTTCCTTGTAAATAAAGGTCCAAAAGTGAGAGAAGTTGATTTTGTTCTAGGGGGCAATATGGAAGTTTAGTTGTTCATTTTTGGAAAAAAAATCCCTAAATATTACAAATTATGCTTCACAGCTTAAGTATAGACATAAATGCCGGCAGAATCATCGGAGCTAATTTTCTTGTGTTGGTGCATTACGTGCAGGGCCGTGCCTGACCTTTTCTAGGTTAGAAGCATAAAAATTTTTTTTGGCCCTTTAGTTATTTTAATATAAATTTTGTTAACCTAAAATAAGTGTTAAAAACAAAAATAATACAGAAAATGGTAATAGGCTGGTTTGAACTCGTTACCTCATGATCTATATAAGCGCACTCAACCACTGAACTAATGACAATTTTAGAATAATTGGCCCCTAAATAATATTTATTCTAACGGGCCCCGAAGCAAATGCTTGATCTGCTTCTTATCAGGCACGGCCCTGATTACGTGAAACACTTAACTCTTTTGAGAAGGAACAATGCATAGAATTGATGTTTCTTTCTAGCAGTATCTCCTCACTTTCATGGCACTAAAAAATATAGAGATGAGAAAAGGGTGTCAAATCAGACAATTGAAAAGGTTGATACTGGATTTTGAGAATATGGATTTTACCTTGAAATTTCAAACACATCAACTCCATCGATCCGAGACGGATACTGTCTGGGGAAATAAAATACCAGATCGATGCAACCTCACTTTTTGGCCATTGTTTCTCTCAAAAGAACCTTACACAAAATTCATAGCAAATAAAAATCAAGACAAACCTTAATAATAATGATAGAATTAACATAGTAAACCACATAAGAAAATACGGTTCGTTTATCGGTGATTGACTTACGTAGAATTTCTCTTAATCTCTTTTATGTCAGCACTTGTGTAGCATCCCAAAACCTGACACAAAAAATTTCTAACGAAAATGGACCTGTCTACCGCCTATTAGGGAAAATCAAGGGTTCCCTTTCCCTTTCTTATTAATAGGCAGCCTCCTTCTCTCTA